TTAATATTTGCATATGCAGTTAAAGAATTGTGAAAACGCAGCACTTTTTTATATTCTTCATTTTAGCTGTTGTAAATAAATAGCTGCCGGCTGTTATAATTATGAAAATTTTACTTTTTGTCAATTATCAAAAATAGTTGTTGAGTCCAACAAATTCCACTATAGTCCAGCAACACTACTGTAATCTAAAGGTATTAAATCAGCAATGAAATCATATGGCAAGACGTAACCATTTCATTAGTTCAACAAGAAGTAATAACATACAACAGACCGTCATATAAAAATCATCCTAACCCGCTAGATGATAGTATCATTTCTGATAGTTAGTTAGCGAAATAGTTAGTTACACTTTTTAGTTATTATTATTATTATAATTTTATTTGAAAAAAAAAATGTGATAATGGGTGATTAAGGGTCAGTCTGTTTTTAAATGCGAGAACCTTACCTTAACCTAAAAGCTATTGTTGTAGAAAACTATGCTCTTACAAAACCTTCCGTATATGTTATAAAACCACGTTGAAGAGAAAAGTTTCACGAAGAATTATATCCACGGTGCTGTAACCAAGACCTTTAAGTAATGCACCGAGAAGCAGTTACAGTCGAATTCGGTGGGGAGTATGAGGTATGAAATCAATTTGTGTTAGGTTAAGTGGTAGGCAGCAAGATAGTTCTCACGCTAAAGTAATGGTGTGTCCATATGTTTCGTGTGGTAAAGTATAAATAGCTGCAAAATTCATTAGTTGCAGATATTGTGTCAGTTTGCGAGGTACTTCCTCTCCAATTCAGAAGAATGGCTTAGACCATTTGTTCGACTACGCAAATAGCTGCTAGCTGCGACATCCATCCAGTGGTGAGCTTTATTGTAGATATGAAGGCAGTTTCTGCCCATTTAGTTTGTCGTGTTTGAAATAGTAGTAGTTAATTTATTTTCCTATTTTTTAAATAATAAAATTATTGATTGTCTGAATATTCCTTAAAAAATACTAGAGTTTCAGTATACTTTATATAACTATATTAATTTTATTTAAATTCTACAAAAATGACTAAAAATCGTTTCGTTTTTATTTTCACTGCTCTTTCCAAGCCATAAAATAATTCAACCCGTAAAAAAGTTGAAAAATTGTCATTAAATTGGTTAAATCCTTGGATGCATGGCTTAAATAAATCAACTCCAATGCACAGGAACATCGTAAAACGCACGTTGTTTGTGTTTATTTTTAATCAATTGCCAAACACTTCCACTTCGTGTTCATAAATTCTTTAAGGATTTTATTTTTTGCTGCGCACATAATTTTATGGCCACAATAAATTTCCAAATCAGCTAAACACACGTGTTTCATATGTGAAATTTATAGACCTGCCCAATTTACACTTCCATCAAGTACTTCAGCCTATAAACCCGCAATGAGATTGATAGCGTTTAATTGCTGGCCCGTGAAGTATGCAGCGTTTATGTTTGATTCTAATGCTCGTCTGTAATTAAGAGAAATCAAACGAAACACTAAATAATGCAGCGGGCAATGTTGTGCGAAACATAAACGAAATCTAATGTGGAGCTATTCTCGGCAGTAATTGGCAATTGCCTGGTGATTACCTGCCATTTTTATGATTGAGTTTCGTTCCCCGCTGATTGCCGACAGAGCTATTACGTATTTACCTTGCGTTGCGTTAAGTGCTTTCATGATTTTCCATGATTTGCTCCAATCTGACAGCTGAAGCAACAGTGATTTGTGTGCCGATCAGGTACCAAGCAGTGCAGATGCTAATTATAACAGAGGAAGTGACTCGTGTGTGACCGGAATGGTGCCCGATGTATGCTTTCATCAAAACTTCTTATTTTAAAAAGGTTGTATGGAGTGTAATTGGTGGAAAAAAATGTTTTTACCAAGAGCAACTTAAGTGTATGGAAAGGATTTTGCTTGCCACTGTTAGTGGCTCTCAAAACAAAAGTAAATACTTTGATTAGACGACTTTTTTCTTCTTCTTAAACAAGTTATTAAATATTTCACACTTTCATATTGAGCTTTGAAAAAATGCTTGTTTATATTTTTATAAGTGCGAAAATAATTGATTTATATTTACTAAAGAAATTTGAATTGCCATATGCTTAAATGCTCATGTTGCAACGAAAGGGCTTACTCTTTTGCTGAACGACGAGGCTAGACTTAATTGATTGGGCTTGAGCCTTTCTGTATTTTAAGGAGGAGCATATGATGCAATAAAGTAGGTATTGGGAGCAATTTAAATATTAAAATTTCTGGATGAACTCTAAAGAACAAGGATAGACTGAAGAGATTTATCAACTAGTCCAAGACAGTCTCAAATAGTTTTCTTGCACTGAGCAAAGTAGATATCAAAACTCTTAATGGAATTCTGACGAAGCACGGCAAGATGATGTACCTTTTAGAGACTACTAATTGTTGCTTTTGTAAAATACATGTTGAAGCGTCTAAATACATTCTCTGAGATAGGTCAGAACTTAGCAGAGGCTGTTAAGCAGCTTTGGTGATCTATGCACCAAAATACGACAGTCAAGTGAGTTCACGTTCATTAAAAGCCTAATGATTAATATAAAACAACTGCGATTAGTCCTCTATGTTTGTCATTATCCATACAATAATGGTATTCATAATAATACGGAAGGTCTTAAGGAAGGCAACTACTGCTGTATGATATTCTTTAAAATCTTGCAGCTATTAACACCGCTTCAATATCGTTTAAGGATTTAATCATGAGCATTTTTCTAGTCTAATAAATACCAACGATTGATATGACGAATTTTATTCTGAATTTAATTTATTTGATTTGCTTTGAAGCTATCATGACAAGCAAATTTATGCTCCAATCGAATTGCTATAAAAATGCAAATATTTCCACTTTTTACCCACTCAAGTGACGCACTTAAGCACTTTGCTGTTGCCTTTTGTCTGTTATTTTTACCTCAACACTTTTGCGATCCATTGTTTTGGTTTAACACTTTAAATGCTTTTAACCGAACACTCAAATAAATTAACTCAATTTTCGTGTTTCCTCTAAGCAAATTTAATTTGGAACGAAATCAAACATCAACCCGAATCGATTTACCTTTCGAAACAATTTGCATTAAATCACAACCACAAAGAAAATATCTGCGGTGAAAAAACCGTACCAACCGAGCTGGTTCACTGTTTGTGAACCAGGTGAAAAATTTCATTACAAACCTGCCAACGGCAATGTAAACCGACAATACCAACTTCCCCAACTGCCGACAGCATAAATGGTTAAATATTTCAAAACTCTCTGAAATGTTTAAGGAGTTGAGCTTCCATCGTTCAGATGCACACACTTCCAATGGTGCGATGTGTGATGGTGGCACAGACTGTGCCGCTTGGCATGTGTCGTTGTGGCAGCAAACTGAGCACTTACGGCACACACAAATTCGATTTATTTGAGCCGTGGGTGGCCTGATATTGGCAATAATTGTTGGTGTTAAAGTGAAAGGATTACATCGACAAAGTGGCAATGTCATCAGCTCATCAGCCGAAAGCTTTGTTATTCTAATCAAAGTTCATTGCTTGAGTTTCTCCGGCTCAATGCCTGCCACCTCAACATATTCGTAGCCTTTAAGTCTTGCACATGTCTTTGACTTTGGAGTAATGCTTTGCAATAAAAAATACTAAATAATTTCAACTCGCTATATGTTTCAAGAGTGTAACAAAAAATAAAAAATAAATTTGTTTGACTACATTTTCTATAGACCTATAGACCAACAGACCAATTGTCAAAGAGGCACAACCACCTTGTTAAAAACTGCTATTAAAGAAGCGAATTAAGCAGTGAAGGATAAATCAATCATTTTTACGTTTTACAAATTTTTTTGATGACTTTAATACCTTCTAAGTTTTGTTTTAGATTGCAAATATAATTTTTTTTACATCAATAAACTGACCCAAAAAATGAATAATCAAACCATATACATTCTATTACCAACAAGTAAACTGCATGAGAATTATATTATATTCATAATGTATAATGAATAATTAATTTTAAAAAAGTATAGATTGGTTAACATTATTTATTATTTTTTGCAAATCTTCGCTTAGCTATATTATACGTTCTGTTTAGACCTTCTGTAGTTTGTCCAAGTGATTTCAAGGCTCTTCGATTGGCCAATTTTTTGTGATTAAAAGTTTAACAGGGACCGAAGTAAATGATTGTCAGACGGTTTAAAGTCCGGGGTGAAAGGTGGATGTATGAAAACTTCTGAAACAAGCTCTATTAATTTAGTACGAGTGATTAGTGGTATGTGTCGTCTGGCAGTATAATGATAGAACACAACTCCTTTTTTGTTGAGCAATTCTGGTCGCCTTTTTTTATTGTTTCCTTCAAGCGATCGAGCTGTGACTGCAGATGGTAATAGACCATTCCTTTCCAATTCCACCAAATATTCAACATAGCTTTTTTTGTCGTCCATCCAGGCTTTAAAGTCGTTTGTAGAGGGTAACCGGCCTTTGATCATTCGCATTGGATATTATCGTAGCCTTTAATCATTTAAAACGGTCATATAGTTTATTACAACCGCTTTCTCCTGACCGCATGCATATCTGTCTGTCTTGCTCAACTCGCTAAAGATTTATATACACTTTAGTGACAAAAAACGATGGATACTTTTTACATTACCCCATACATGTTACACACTCACAAGGCTTCACATAATCGCTGATTTGTTAGTCATCCATTTTTGAAGTGTGAGAGAAAAGTAAAAGTACCATTTTGCGAGATAAAAGTTTTTCTTTTACAAAATCTACTATTCTATATACAATCCAAACTGTTGTCTTGATATAGTCTATACGATCAAGAGACAAGCAATCGAGCTCTAGAGTGAATTCAAGAGAGGAATATTAAATAAGAATTAAAAGTCCTGAGCTCTCTTCAGGAATATAACATTATATTTTTGTTAAAAACACATTTCACTTGAATTATAAATTTTAAATCTTTTCTTTTATTTTATTTTTAGTTTATACACACACACCAACACACATATAGCATCTATACAATGGGTCCTGAACCTATACGACTCAGTAATCTTGATAACACAAATGTCGAGACGGGAACGTCATCGAATAATGAACAGACAACGTCACACAGCAACGCAGTGGAAACATACGAGCCACGGGAGCGGATGATCATTACGAAAAATGTGGTCATCATTGGCATTGCGTTTATGATTCATTTCACGGCATTTCATGGCACCTCCAATTTGCAGAGTTCAGTCAATGCAGATAAAGCACTTGGCACAACGACATTAGCAGTTATTTATGGTTCCTTGATATTGTCGAATATATTTCTGCCAATGACCGTGATAAGGTAGGTCAGAGAAATGCTTTATTGTTCAGTAGAAAAGCTAGATGGGACGATATTTGTATTTTATAATGATTCTTTCAATGTGAAAAAGTTCTTATTATATGAAAATCACAAACATACTACTTACACGAAAAGTGTTTCTATTAGGTTCCAAAGAAATCTTCACTAAGTTTTGGAAAGCAGTACCTATGAAGAAAATTTTGAAGATTGGTGGATTAACTTAAATTCAGGTTTGATGGATATCAAAAAAAAAATATACTATAAAAATATACTCAAGTACCAACCCTTTCTTAGCTATCCTTTCTTAGTATTTTCTTTTAACTCATTTAGTAACGATGATGATATGTGACCAAATAGAAATGTATTATTAACGACTTCCTTTTTTAGAAACTGTGACATTTAGACAATGCAAGACAATATGTATTCTTTTTAATAGAAGTCATCCATTTGATAGAAGTTATACAATCCATTTGATGGTTGATGGTTTCTTCACTTGAGCCTATTGGCCCATTGTGTTACCGTATAAGAACTCAGAAGCTTCTGGATTCTTATAAAAGTGAGTCCATAGCATAGTTGAACGATAGGTTAAAGATATTGTTGGATCAATTTTAAACCAACTTGAATTAAAATTTCTTCTCAACATATACACAGAATATATTGTGACTCTTTATTCAGATGAGTCTTATAACTGAATGTATGTATTTATATAGCGTTTGTTTGCCAGAAGCTGAACATTCACAAACAATATGCTCTGCGGTTTTTTACATGAGTATCGGAGAGCCATAACTTGTTTAAGTTATACCATAGGCTACTGTGACCTGTAAAGTTACCAGATAGAGTCTTCATGTCTATTGTGCATAGCGAAAGTATTTTTATTGATATTTTCTTAGCTTGGAAAAGAAATAGTTCTGCAATTTGTTATTTAAAGTTATTTTGATTAAGTATTGAAAACATATCAAACTATTAAGCAGTATAAAGCAAAGCTTCATTAAATGATAACTCTCATAAATGGACAACTATCTTACCGTGTTAAGTTGTTTTTATGCTATTTTCCAATTTTTATATTTCACACAAAGTCTCTTCTTTTATATGGACAGTTCTTTATCAGAACAGTATTGCTCTTCCCTTGTTCCCTTTTCTGACTAACACCGCTGTTACTGTGTTTTACTTCGCAACTTCTTGTCCCCAAGCACTGCGTGGTTTTCTTTAAAAAACACTGCAGAAGTCTGGTTAATGCTCATTTATATATTTTAAGACCCGTACAATATTCTGATTGTACTATGATGGGGTTATCACAATTTTGAGACCGTCTAATATTTGAAACCACTTGAAACTAAAAAATGACTTCTTTAGTTTCTGGTTTCTGGTTTCTGTGAAAATACGACATGTTTTTACTTTAGCATTTGCAATTGAAACGCAGATTTATGTTTACTTCAATGTTGGCTTGCGGTTTTTTATCTTTAATTTGTGGAATATAATACTAATAAATAATATGAGAGAATGATACTCATAGCCTTCTTCGTCTATATTTCACATTTGAGTGAAATTATATTTCCAAGAATTCAACATTGGAAGATTTACTTAAGCCGAATAAGAAAAAAACATCTACGATAAGCTGATTATCACACATTTGCTGAATATATTAGGCATAACGCCTAAGCGCTTAAGTTCCTCTTAACATGCTGATGCCACCTTATCGAATTTATGGGATTAACTCAACAACAACACATGAAATGCCAAATAATTAATTTACCCAACGACGTGAGCAGACACAGCCATGTACATAGATACAAACCCATACTCATGCACTCGCACTCGCACACACACACACATACAAGCATATACATGATGCCGTAATCAAATGGCAATCAATTTGTGTTGTCCTTGTCTTAGCACAAATCAATGTCGAGCTAATATTTTATTGCCGTCTGTGATGGTCGAAATGTCTAATAGTTTTAACCTCTTCACATCGCCTGGTCTCATCGCTTGGCCGCCACATTCTGGCTGTGTGTTTTGCTACTGCTTGGCTTGGCATGTGAGCAAATCAAATAAATCTTGGATTGTAATTAAATCGGCTTATCAATATTTTATTGCATTACCGAGTGCCGTACAAAGTCAAAGGACTGACAGAACTGACAGAACGACAGAATGCAGGCCGCCGGGACACTGCGACAGTCTGAAGTGTGTCAATGAATCCCGAGCATTGGACATTTTTCGCCTTTTTTCCCATCATTACTCCAATAAATACAAACACACATCAGTGAAGCGCACATGTGTGCGATGTGTGCGATATGTGCGATGTGTGACATGTTATCAATGCCATTGACACATTTCAGCGTACGACACTACACGACATGACATGACTTCGAATGACTCTACATGGCTTGGCATGACTTCACTTTTAATATGCAACAGTCAATCGGCTGAAATGGCACACCGCTCTTCGCAACTCAAGTCAACAGAGTCTGAAGTGGCAATGCGAAATATGAGGTAGCAGCAGAATTCCTACGTGTGCACAAACAAAAACCCAATCGCTTAGAAATAAAATGACAGCTCCACTTAACTTGCTACGCTTAACTCGCACTGTCAAGTCTAAGCAGATTTACATGTGTGACAACGGATAGCTTATATGGCATATACCATAACTGTTCACATAAACACACACACGCACACACTCACATACACATTCAACGCAGTTTATATATATGTCTGCTGGTTGGGAAGTCATAGTTCGGTAAGGTTTTACGTGACAAGCTGCGTTTGATTTATGCTCGAGGTTGACATCATTTGCCTAATGCCTGCCTTCTCACTATTTCTCACTATTGTATGGCTTATCGGCAAACACTTAATAAAAGCGACACTAATTGAAGCATAAAACTAGGCGCAAAGGCGTAATTATTTGAATAGCGCGGCGAATTCAGTTTAGAAATTTAATATTTCAATCGAAACGTTTATGCGGCAAGTGATGTTAGGACAATTGAATATTCTCACTGCTTCTGGCCCATATACCACACAACTTTACTCGCACTTTACTCGCATCCCCGCAAGGATTCACTTCAAGTGATGCACTTTGCAACGCCATTTCAATTTGATCCAATCCATTTCTTTTCTAAAGATTGCACTTTGATGCAAATGAATTCCAATTTATTTTATTGTTTTGCGATTCCCGAATGAATAAAAAAAAATTTGTCTTCTTACAGATGGTTCGGCTGCCGTGTGACAATGGCGCTCGCATTTGTCGTCTACATGCCCTACATAGCAGCGCAATTCCATCCACGTTTCGAAACATTGATACCCGCCGGCTTGATGGTGGGCTTCGGTGGTGGTCCATTATGGTGTTCGAAATGTACATATCTCTCCACAGTATCGGAGGCATTGACCAAAGTACGTGGTCGTTTCTCGCTGAAGGATGTCAACACCGTCAAACTGTTTGGTCTCTTCTTCATATTCTATCAAATGGCACAGGTGTGGGGTAACTTAATCTCATCATCAGGTAAGAACACAGCCACGAAGTACTAATATTACAAAATAAGACGAACATTGCCCTAGTGTTATCCTTTTCCAGCTCCGATGACAGTCACACAGGTGTGAACATTTCCTCGATAGCTAATATATCACTGGCGCCTTTTGAGGAAGCACAGCAAGATCGGGTCACGGAGTTGTGCGGTGCCCGTTTTTGTCCTGGAGTCAGCGCTGAAGTAATACCAAACTTGAGTCCACCCGATCCTGCCAAAATACAGTTGCTCACCTCCATTTTTCTTGTCTGTATGGTCGTCGCAGTATTGCTGATGTTCTTCGCTGTGGACTCATTGAGTCGGTAAGTCAATCGAATATTTCACCACAATGTTTACGAATCGTGCATGTGATAGTTATGGCGTTAAGAAAGGTGAGGCGGGTGATGGCATGTCTGGTTTCAAGCTCTTGATGGTGACCATTAATTTGCTGCGCAAACGGCGACAGATTCTACTGCTGCCAATTACGATGTTTATAGGTCTGGAAGAAGCTTTTCTAGCTGTGGACTATACCAGGGTTAGTCGCTCGAGATGCTCCTAAATTAAATTAAATCCAACGCTTCTTTCTGTTTTCTCATATTTATATTTTATAGTCTTTCGTTGCTTGCGGCTGGGGAATTTCAAATATTGGCTTTGCAATGATTTGCTTTGGTGTGGCCAATGCTATTGCTGCAGGCGTCGCTGGTGGCTTGGTGGAGAAAATTGGACGTGTCAGCTTAGCACTTATTTGTGCCTTAATCAATTTGCTGCTGCTTGGCTACATGTCCTTGTATACGGCTCGTGAAAACGATTATCTTATGTACTGCGCTTTTGCTGCTGTGTGGGGAATTTGCGACGGCATCTGGCTGGTTGTTGTCAATGGTAAGTGGTTGACTTCGTCATGGCATTCTTCAAAGAAGATATCGTAATATTACGGTCTTTGTGGAGCGGTGTTCATTAGTATTGAACCGTTAGTATTTTATTGAACCGATTGGTTGTTGTTCATATCGAAGACCGTACGACATAGGTTTGTAAGAGAATATAATAAGGTTTTTGTAGACAATTGATTAGGTTTTCATTTGTAAAGTACGTTAGCATAGACACACTTCAGAATAAAGCTCTCCAGCAAGTTTAAACAAAGCAGATAAAATGTACAGTACCTTTCAAAATAACGTTTTCCATATTGGGTTTAAAATTCAGCTAATTTTTATAATTAATTTTATAGAATTAATTAACAAAAAATAAATTTAAGGTAATTTTGATATTAATACAAACAAAAATAATATATAAAAAGAAGTATATAAAGCAAGTTGCCGTATCTTGCAGAATCTCTCTCCACACATGAAAAATACTCTAACATATATCATATTTGCTTGACATAGTCGGATTAGTATTGCTAGATCTTTGGGTATGAACACCATCTAGTGACTAAAAATGGCGGAGTATAAAATATACATAATAAATACGCCTTCATTTTTAATTTTAGTACAAAGTTGTTGAATAAATTTAGGAACACTACAGATATACAAGGGTAAGGTAGGATGTCCTGGAAGTTGAGATACATTTCACAGTAGAGTGCATTGTAGAAATCCATTTTTTTAATTCCAGTAGCGTTTGAAAATTGCGTACTGACGGACAGAAAAATAATTAGAACTCATAAAATTTAAATACTGCATAATCACATTACGTACTTGCATAATTTTATAGAACTTAAAAGAGTTTTCTTTCAGCTTTCTATGGTATTCTTTTTCCCAAAGACCTTATCGCAGCGTATAGTAATTTTCGTTTATGGGAATCGACTGGTTCTGTGATTGGTTATGTGATCAGTTCGCAGCTTTGCACCTCCACGAAGTTGATTATACTTCAGATTGTGCTCCTTGTAGGCTGCACAGGGTAAGAAATTATTTTAATAAAACTTTAAATTTTCATTAAAACGTTTTTCTTTTATTGTTTTTAGTTATGGGCTCATAGAGTATCGAGTTTGGAAAAAGCAGAAGAGTCTAGAAATTATGTTGAGTGATTAGCTTAGAAAATAAAAGTAATTGAGACAATGCCATTTTATATAAGATTTGTTATAATTCATTAAAATTTTGTATAATAATTTTAGTAGGAAAAAACATTAAATAAACTAACAAAACAAAGAAAAAACTTTGTGTAAATTATAATTATTCTATTAAAAAAGTTGAGTATTTTCATAACATAAAGATTGGTCATAACCCCTCTTGCTCTATTTTATAAGGATATGAATGTTTACAACAGTCACAGCAGAAAAAGTAATAAGTATAGGGACTCCCCTTTATCAGTTTTATTTTCTTTCTTACGAAGGTAAGTAAAAAAGCTATAAAATGTAAAAAAAATCATAATTTGAGGTTCTAATTCCAGAGCATTTATATCTATAACAATATAACAATATTTAAACTAGTGAATGGGGTGAATGGAGTGAATGGGGTGAATGAAGTGAATGGGGTGAATGGGGGCTGACTGACATGATCATCTCAACTACATTCATTGTTGTCTCTAGTTTCTTATACACTATCATTTTGCAATCGAAGTAGCTTAAAAGCAGGTTTAAAACAATATTATCTATTGTTTTCTTCTTCCTTTTCTTAGGTTCTCTAAATGCTTAAGTGATTGGTGAAAGGGGGGGATTTTCTATTTAGTGCGTTTGTTTATTTGTTGGATGAATTAAAATAAACTATAATTTATTATTATTTTTACTTATGAATTTGTTTATTTATGCTTTATTACAATTAATTCTCAATTAATGTTTTCATGTTGTGGCATACAATATCAATTTTACATTTCTAGTCGGTAATTATGAGTACTTCAAAGACCTTTTTTGTTTTTTTTTGTTCATGAATAAATTAAATACATTTTTTTTAACATTCTAAGACATTTTTGTTTTTACTCATTACTTTAGCATTACTTATATGTAATTAATAATATTTTAACACATACGAAAGGTTCATCATAGGTGACAATGCAATTTGTGCATATACATAAAATTTAGTTTTTTTTGTTAATTTCATCGTTTTATATTACTTCACTAATTTTGAATTTGATGACGTCTTTGACAAAACTAACAAATTTTGACAAAAATGTAAGTAGTTCATTTTTTTGTTTACTTTAAATATAGTTCAAATAGTTCAAGGGAATTGAATATTAGTGGTTTCTTGAAAAAGAGTTCTAAAGTATTATTTTTTTGTTTTTTTTCTGTAATTTATTCGATATTTACTTAATTTTATTTATATATATCTTTTTTTATATATTTTTACTTTTGAATTTAGTATTTACTTTTTTGTGCTTAGAGATAATATAATATCTTTTATGAAAGAAACAAAATATTTTAAGTATTTTTATTTTTATTTTTTTTTTTTTGGAATGGCACGTGTAAACACAACTTAAATCTTTTTAATTAAAATAATACAAAAGAAAAAATTATTAAAATAAAATGTAATGTAAAAACGAATGATAAATTTTTTATTATAAAAAATTTTTTTTTTTTTTGTGCAGTCCATAAATTTTAGCTATCGTGGAAGGTGTTTTGTTGAACAAACTACCAAAATTTTCACTCCTAACATTATGGACTGTATAACTGAAAATCTTCTCATAGGAATTTTGACATATTTTTTTTTTTGCTTAAAATAGAATTTACAATAAATCGCTATGACACTCTTTTTGCTTCCCTTTTATGGCATGAATTCTAACTCCTTCAACTTCCTTCCATATTTCAGATAATCTTATAAACTTAGCACTACTAATTTTAATTATAAATAATTTTTAAATTGTTAGACATATTGTATACATTATAAAATTAATTAAATCTCATTTATATTTTTCAAAAACTATCACAAAAAACGCATTCACAACTCACACATATACACACTCTCACCCACACACACACACACACACATACACACTTGTATAAATACACTTTTACAAAGAATGGGAATTGTTTGGTTTGAAAACTTTTTTTATTTCTAAATTATCCTTTTTAGCTTGAGAGTACTTTTCGCAAACTTTCCTATTAAAATCCTTTTTAAGTTGTTTTTATAAAAATTTTACACTTAAGTGTACTTAGGTCTATCTTAAGGCTACGTCTGTTTATACATAAATATTGTTGCTTTTACATTAAAGCTTATTTCTATTAAATATGAATCCTGTACATCAACTCAAATCCTTAAAAACTAAACCAGATTCCGTAATCTTTGTCTCTTATATCTTTATTACTCTATTAATGTTTTACTTTTACTTTTAACTTCCTTTAATCTGATTTGTCCCTTTTTCTTATAAAACTCTTCCACACTCGTCTTCTAAAGGGTTTTTCAATGGTTTCCAATTTCAAAACTACCCGACGAAGTAATTTACAGGAATTTTTTCACTGGAATATATTGATTCATAAGAGATATTTCCAAGTATTGGTTTGCATATATAATATTCATTATCAAAGTAATACATATTTCGATCAGGATAAGTTATCATTATTCAGTGATCAGCAATTCCAATTCTTTCTACAGAAGTTGTAGTTGTTGTTCTTGATTTTCAAGATATCGGCATTCCTTGGTTTCCCCTACTTATAATTAACCATTATTTATAGAAAGTACTTTTTAGTAGTAGTTACAGCATTATTTCTGCTTTCATTGCTGTGACACATCATTTAAACCATGCCTTTGGACATCATTCTGACGGTATTCTTCAAGGCTTGACGTTTATTACAGAACCAAATGCGTATGACTTCGCGTTCGTACCCCAGTTGGTGAGCTAATCCAGTAATCTCGGTACCTGAAATAGAAAATTTCATATTAAAGAAACTGGTTTTAACATCGTCATAATTATTATTAAGTTTGTATATCTAAGCAATATATCTAAAATTAATACTGGAGAGATTTTCGAATTTATCAACGTTTTTGACTGGTATTAATATGACAATCCTTCTACCTATAATTACCAGGATTGTGGAATGAAAACAAGTTTCTTCGTTAATTGATTAGTACATTTCTTCTTTCTTCTTTACCTATGTTCATTACAATGTGTTAAGCAAAATTACGTGATTGCTATCCAAAGGTATCAACAGTTTTAATAGGCTATGATAAACAGATGGTTCTGGTAAATCATCACCGTATTCAGACAATAGAAAACACAACCCATTATACTTGTAATTACTTGCAAAGAAAGTCTTTAATTTTTGATACTCGAAAATATAAATTCATAAATAAATATGTTAGATATTAGGAGGCATGTCGTTTGATTGCAAACCATTAAACGCCTAGCTTCAATCAAACCACTTCAATCCTTCAAATAAGTACGTGAGTAAAGGGCAGAACTCGGCAGGTTAAATTGTCTCTCGAACATGGCTCTCTCATTGTATCCTTTCCTTTCAGGTTCCTTAACAGAAGAATTTTTAGGAGAGTCTTGACAGTCTGTCAGATATTTGATCAGTAAAAACAAAAGAACTGCTTAACTACATAAGCTCAATTGAATCTAGTTTATCTACAGAAGTTTCGGGAAATATGTATGGTATTAGAACTGTTGATAATTGCTAATTGTTCTATCCGTTAATATTGAGTCTATCTTTAATATTTTATTAAACTAATTGCTTTTTTTTTCTTTTTTGAAATAACCACTCACCGGATGGATGTGTGTTGCGCTCGAAATGAGCATTCAGCAGTTCAAGCGCTTGTGGTGTGAAGGATGTGCGCCGCTTGCGTTTCTTCGATGGTTCAACGCCTATGTAGTCCGTCAAATGATTTTGTCCCGATTTATAACGATTCCAGTGGCTGTTAAGAGAAAACGAAAAAAAAAATTATTAGTAAGATAAATCGATTTGAAAGCCAAACGCGTGTGGAACATTTTCCATACTCTCACCTCTCTTCGGCTTCTTTCATCCAACGCTCCAAAACCGGCTTAATTTTTTGTGCACTCTTTGGTGTTATATCCAATTTCTCAAACCTGAGTGGACATAGGAGAGTAAGTAAATGAATTAGTCAAGAAAGTCTAGTTGTAGTATAAGATTGTGTATGCGCAAACTACTTAGTATGTAAGGAAAATAAAAGTGCCAGGACATTGTCAAGTGCCAATAGCTTACAATTTTCTAGAATTTTGTTCAAAGCAAATTGAAATATCAAACAATGAGCAACAAAAAGGTATCAACTCAAACCTTAGGCAATGCCCTGGCCAATATATTGATTCTTATAAAAATAAAGCGCATACTTAAGACTGCTAATGGGTGTGTTAATTAAAAAAAAAACTATAGAAAAATAAAATAAATTAAATCAGAAATCAGAAGAAGCTTTAGTAGTTAGTTAAGGTTGGCAGTTGAAAGAGTAGCAAATCAGCAGCACATCATTCTGCCTTACTTAGCACTTTTTAGCTAGAGAGGAAACTATTCCTCTGATCAATAGGAATTGATCATTTAGCTAAGTTCGCTGGCTGCTTTTGCCACTCTTTCAGCTGTTAATTATCCTCCAATAAACCAAGTGTTAATGAGCAGTTAACTTGGCTTATCTGTTGACTTGTTAATTCTTAACAGTTTTTTTACTTAGTGAGAATTTTTCAACGATTAGGTTTGTTTTGTTTATTGTTAATAATTTGTTAATTATGTTTGTTTGTTAATGTTTTTTTTTAATTGAATGCTTTCTCATATTTACACGTACATGTTTTGTTGTTGTGTTGACAGTTGCGCAGCGTACATCTGAGCAGCCAGTGCACTACGGATCATTCGTTCAAGGATTCATCCATTTACACGATTTATAATTGAACATAAATATTTTATGTTTTCATAGCATTTGATGGAAAAAATATAAACAAAATTTTATTTATTTAATTTTATTCATTGCAAATACAACATTTCTTGTTTATGTTTATGTTAAAAAAGCAAATTATCATATAATGTCCTGGCACAATTTAATTTCCGCAAGTTTCTACATATGTAAAATTTATTATTTTTCATATTTGAATATAAATAAGCTTTTCTTTCTCCAATGTTATGATTGGTTTAACTCTTTGCGAAGGAATATTTCACTTTTGCTTCTAATCGGGCTTATCAATGTCTCTGACTAGCTATAATGCACCCAACCCTCTTCCTTAAATTACTTGAAATGCGAAGATAAAATGCCTTAATAGGTTCCGAAGAAGGGGCGCCCTACTACCAATTCACCTATCTACTTTATTGTAACGACGCTTATATAATTTATTTGTCTGAAATATATTATCAGTAATCATGTGTTCCAAAAACTTTTCCCGTCACTTTAAGGATATGCGGGTATATATTTATCAACACGAACGTATATATGCTCGTATAAACAAGCAAACGGTAGTCCCGGACATATGGAAACACACAGTGTAGTCTTGACATACTGTAGACATACTAATAACTAAAATTCAATAGACAGAATTAGTACTGTTGATGAGTTTGGGTATCCTATATAATTGTAAAAATAATATTATATATCCTCAGAATAAACAATGCACTATGAACCAAATGTTACCTCCCATTATCATTTCAAATAATTCTCATTTTTGAAAATTTCTTAAGTATGTTTTCCGAATAGTACAAATATCGACAATAGAATGTATATATATCTATATATATATGTATACAAATAATTCAGTTAAAGGATCGAATATTCTCTGATAAGTACCGATGGTTTATAGTTAGTCGATTTTTCCACACTTAAGGGATTACATATATTATTAACATTATGTTTAGTAAAGCAATTAGTAATCTCTTCAAGTAATGTATATACACACGTATGTATATTTAAATATATTCAATAGGAATAATTTTCAATGTATGGCACACTTTTATCTTGGAGTTCTATTATGCTATCCATGGAGAGAGTTTATTTATTTAATCTGTAAAATTATTGCTGTTAATAAACCTAATAATTTTTCTTGATTCAAGATAAGTAACACATAGGCTGAACATTAATTGGAGAAAACATCTTCCTCGTTACCGTATGTCTCTTCTGCATTTTTCATCAAGAAAAGATATTTCAACGCCTAAGAATTTGAAAAGGAGTTGGTAAAACGTATTCATTGTACCTTAAGTCTTTATCTATAAGGTGTGTACGACGAATATACTAATTTTTTTTAATATAAGAAAACAATAAATAATTATTTTAGCGAGAAACTAACTGTTTTTACAGCTATACCATTTGTCAACCCTTCCCTTCTATCGTATCTTTTTCTAACTGTTATTATTCTAAATTATATAAACTGGTTTATATCTGCAACATATCACATTATAAAATATATATAAGATACTTAGAAAAATACTTTAAAACATTAGATCTCATACAACAATTGAACTTGCCCTCGCATTCTCTTCAAGCGAGGTCTTAAAATTAAACTAGTATCTCTACGTAAGGACATTTGATATTAATTAGTTAAAAAACACATAATTTTGGTCACGATTTTATAATACTATAACATATAACATATAATATTTTTAGTGTGTTTTAACTTAAGAGTAATTTCCGTGGTATGAACTCACCTGCATATGGCACTTTGACTATAAGCTGGACCTTCAGTGACAGACAGGGCTTGACCAACTTGGGTTTGAGTAAGTCCCAGCGATAATCGTCGTAATTTAAATGCTTTAGCAAATTCTTTAATATCATCCAAATCGATGCCATCAACAACGTTGGTAGTGGCTTGATTAATGGTGGGCTCATCTAAAATTTTGAAGAGAAAGAAAGTTATATATTAAAAAAAATTTAATCAAAATTAATGTACAAAATAGATTAAGCAAATAAAATGGTTATAAGGAACGAAAAATAAAAGAATTAATTTTTATTTAAAATGTGTAAAAAATAAATAACAATAAAACTATTATTTAATTAAAAATTTCTGTTGGTATCAAGTATCGAGATATTCGAAAATAAATCATAAATTAATCATTAATAAATTAATTAATCATTTCCTAATAATTAAAACAGTTGAAAAATTTTTGAACAGATCTTCAGGGACACTACGGTTGTGTGAAACTTATAAGGCTTTTTTTAATTTCTTTGATTCAGAATTAAGTTCTTTAAGATTGGCAACACTTATACAGAGACCATTCAAAGATATTTTATGTGATATTATTGTTTGCTTTCGTATATTTAGTGCTGCACTTGGCACTTTTCTGAAATTATTCATCCATATTATATGTTAGTGCTGCAAACAACACTTTTTTATATGAATGTTATATTATTTTTAGTGCAGTTAGTCAGCGCTAAGACTAATCATTCTTCAAATGATTTTTACAAGTCTTGTTACTAACGTTCAACCTCCTAAGTTTTGCTTTAATCGATCTTTTGCTGAAAATTTTCTCGTAGACTCAAGTGGGTTCCAGTTTTATTAAGTCATAGTACTCACTATATATGTATACAATTTTAATGAATTTGGCATTTTAACCTGATGTAAAAATCAACAGACAAATTTATCCTGTTCTTTTAGCAATCATATGAAGAAAACTTTGTTTTCTATAATTTTTCTATATTACGGCACCTCCACAGGAAATAGGTGTCATCGAAATTCTAAATTTATGGTCCCATAGTCTACAAATCTCATAATTTATTCAATCAACTAAATCGAAATAAACAGAAACGAAAAAGACATCACTAAAAATGATTGTGGACTTAAGAATTAAAAGCATCCTTAGTTCTGCAGAAATTCATTCCTTAGTCATAATATTGTATGTACATGATGCACCTCATTTCCTCATCAGGAAATCAGTATAACAGCGTCATCCACAAGGACCAGGAAATAAGTCACCGTAGCTGCAACGAAACTAATTGCAGCTGCTGCCGCCGCGTAATTAAAGGTAATTGAGGTAATATAAAATATTATTTGCGTTAAACCGTTTCAAGGAGTACATGAGTACGTGAGTAATGATAATGTTATTAGTGAGGTTGCAGGTGAATGTGGCACTTCCTGCCGTACTGCTCGCTCTGAGCAGGGAATCCTACCATGTTGATTGAATAATTGATTCAAGACGCGAAGAACTCATATTGTTTAGTGCACATACACATACATACCCGTATATTCACTTTTAAAGAAAAGTTTTAAAATTTTTATCTAAATACAACCAAACTGTGGGGTATGAAGGATCCAAAACCAATCCATTTGGATGCCTTATACTACAAACTACATCGTTTGTAAAAAGCGTAGATAAACAATTAACAATGCAAATTCGTAGCGCTGCGCTAGTCTAAAAGTTACTTCCCTATTATTCGAGATAAGCTTTCATCGCTTTCATCATACATTTAGTGGCTGTTAGGAAGATCCGCATTTGTTATCCTTCAGTGCCTTCGGTGCAGTGCCAACAACTCTTTCTCTTCCAACTACTTAATTTTCTGCATTTTGTTGTTGTTATCTGAGTTGTTGCTGCTGCTGCCGTTAAGATAGAAATTTTTGATTTATTTATTAATGATATGCAAAGCATCAGATTGTCATCATCGAGAGTAGACGTTGTGACGGTGTCGTCCTTGCCAAGCTGTGCAAATTTCTTGCTGCTTGCATTGTTTGTGCTGTAATTAAGCTACACGCTTTATTACACGTTCCTCCTCTTGGCTGGGGACACGACGCGGCAGGCGGCTGGCGGTGGCATGTATTCCGCGCTGCGGTACAACTTGTAACTTAAGCTTTTGATACTTACGAAGTGAAATATGTCATTAAACGCAATAAGAAAAATAATAAAAACAACTTAAGTTTTGCACATGTCAATTAGGAGTAATTAAGCCCTACAACGACAGCTCGGAAGACTGACAGACAGACAAGATTTCCTTTAAGTGCTGCACTGCGGAGCATGTAGTTAAGTTGATTTGAATAGATTTTTAATGCATCTTAGCAAACAGTATTAAACACATATGAATAAATGTGGAATGGTTGCTTTACATCCATTATTGCATTAATCAATGAAATGTATACGATATTTTCCACATCCTGGTGAACCTCGATTTGCATACTCAAATCAAATCAAAATATTCCACATTTCTCAATTAATTTGATATTTTCTGATGTGTATTTGGCTTGACGTAAAGACGTATTTGTTTATTGCAGTGATAATTTGGCCCTTCATTAAAATCCTCATAGCAACCAGAATCTCAGCAACGAATGATTACCACTCCTTGCAGTATTACCATTTTGAAGAGGTAGTACATGGGTTTTAGGATTTTGTTTTGTATTTTTAACAAAATTTTAAAAATATTTAATATTTAATGAAATTTATCTGACCTTCCCTTGGAAATATATGCATTTAAGTTTTGAGAATAGCAAGAGTTCGTATTGGTATTGGATACCAAGTTTGGACAGAAATTGTAAATAATTATGTAGCAATAGAATGACAACATAAATGGGAAGAGAAGTCATATCACAACTAAGCGGTTTTGAAGTGAGTTTTTAATGTTAAAGGCGTGATATTTAGCTACTGAATCCATTAATCCACATAAGATCAAAATAACTACAACTCAATGATGCAGAAAATAACATTAGAATGTTTTTAGAATCCACTAGACGATATTTTCGTTTTTAAAGAAATGTAGTAAACTGAAGCCACAATCGGAAAATTGAATCTAAAACACAAAAATACTAAACATTATTTACGAAAGAAATGAATCCAGATATTAAAAATATCCACAGAAATATTCAAAAAGAAGAATCTGAATTATAATGGGGACTTGCGATACTGATCATAAGTCGTATTCACAGAATTGAAAATATGAATATATAAAAGACAATTATTCGCCCAATATTTATCCATAGAAGTGTAGTATGGACAATACAGCAGAGTTAGTAGCTACAAAAATGCGACATGAGTATTGGCGTTCCCATAAAATATAAACAAGTTAGTACTGAATAATGCTGAGGATCAGGGTTTGTTATAAGATATACCCCATTGAACAAAAATATATGCCACAAACATTCAAATCATTATAATCAAGCGATAAATATTCTTTCTTCTTACTAAATTGGATTTAAGAACCCGTTAACGAGTTTCATTCCTCAGTAATTGTCCTTTTGAAATACTTTTGCTTCGAGCATGCCCTACTTAGTTTTGTATTTTATATATGGTTAGTGTTCCGACAGCTTTGTCTTCTTTCTCCGACTGCTGCTTCAAATAACCTGACAGTATAACTAAGGCTGTGAAACCTTAGAATATTTATTCACTAAATAATGCCAATGTCGTGATAAACATCGCACTCATAGTTAGATCATACTGTAGTCCACGTGCATTCGTAGGAGACCAAAGAATATTACTTTTAAAAGCTGTCTGTATTGCTACATTGTTTTTTGATAGCGTACTTGGTTCTACGCAATATCACTTTCGTACAAAAATTGAATTGATCGCAGAAGAAGGAATCAGGTTATATAAATTTTAATAATTAGAGATATTTTTGGTAATACAATATTTGGAAAAATTTGATTTACGTTGGCAAAACTAGTAGTACTTAAAGTTATCTTAAATATTGAGATGTGAACACGATCATTTATGGGGTTATCATATGATAACTTATAATTAATAAGGGAATAGTGTATCAAGCTTGTGAAAGTCTTTTAAGAATAAGCTAATATCTGGCTAACTGTAAAGTGACTTGGTCTAAAATCGTGCTGATGAGGTCCAATCAGTGAGTTATTATGTAAATTCAAGCTTTATTGGGACCTTTAAAAGACTGACCGCTTAATCGTTGGCACAGTTGTGAAAATACAGATTGAAAGAGAATAATAAATGTCCCTGACTTTGATGATTTGATGGGTTGATGACATATTTGGAACGATTCGGTGTTAATGAAATTAAATCTGAAGAAGTGTAGGAAAGTAGAACAAGGATGCACTTTAATTACAGTAGCAGTTAAAAGAGGTGGAATAAATAGGTGATATTTCTACTTGATGCACCTTATTCGTAGTAGTTATTTTGATCTGAATTCTTTTCAAGTTATTTTTAAGTCGTTTACTTTCAGAGATTAGATTGAAGTTAACTCATTTCATTTTATACTAAATTTTCACAAGGAATTTGTTATTTTGTTTTTCATATTTATCAACAATTTTGACATTCACAACAATCCTGATTGGGATAAATATTATTATTTCTCAAAAATATGTCTTCAACGATTATTTTACATCTCCTTGAATATTGACTCACTTCTAGTCTCTACAGGTTGACAGGACAAAAGCAAAGAAACTCTAAAGTTACGCATTTAAAGTAACTTTCAGTGTTAATTAAGATTTTCGTATATTTTCGTATATTTCCTATGAATTTTCTGCAGTTTTCGGAAATTTTACCTGCCTGCAAAGTTGGTTTAAATGTGAAAATTGCTAACTTTTCTGAGCAAATCCAATTTAACTAAGAAAAATTCTACTGATTGACTTTTGTGCTGCCAAAGTTTTGGATGTGCTTTTGTAAGGAATTCATAATTGATGAGGTTGCAGCACATAAGAGAAACCAAAGCTGTAAGGATATATTTTATGTTGCGAAGGTTGCCCCTCCCTCCGTACTACTCCTACGTTTCTATCCTAAACATGTGACTTCATTATTTCTGCGTTCTTTTCATACATCAGAAATAATCTTTAAATAATTTCTTAACAAAATTGAGTGTTAAGAAACCTTCTACGTAGGTTACTTGAGATTCGAGCAAATGCAGTGAATGCATTAGAGTGACAAGCCGAATTCTGCAGGATTATTGTCACACTTGACTTGGATTTACCAAAAGTGTAATTGCATATTAGCGTTGTATCTATCCGGTACATTTCCCTGTCGTCTTTGTTTAGTTTGTTACGTTTTATTTGCATCCTGTTACTCTCTCTCAAAAGGATATGCACAACAACTTTTGACTTCTGTACTTATTGACAGTACAAATAAAGTTCAAGTCGCAAAATTGCATGAAGTTTAGTTCACCTCACATTTCTTGAATATGGGATGATGACTACGGCATATGGGTTTTGTATTCTTGATGGTATTGAGTTCAGTTGGCAGTTTAGACTTAAATTCATATTTGCATGACTGGAATAAGTTTTAAGTAAACTTGTAGAAAAGTCGAAGATATGTAAAGAAAACAGGATTGGTCCCTTTAACCATTTCTCTTTACAAAGAATGAAGACTAACACAGCATAAAACGTAGGATATAAATATCTATTAAAAATAAATTATTAGAAATATTTCAAGCTAACACTAAATTGAGGTAAATTACATATAGAAATATGGTATAATGATTTAAAGAGCTAAAGGAGTCAATCATCCACAATGGTCAAGTCTGTGGACCACTTGCAATGAAGTTTTGTCATAAGCAAGGAAAGTTAATCAAATAAGTTTCCAAAAAGATAATGGAATAACAGTAGTAGATGTCAGATAAAATTTACCTGAAAATTCGTTTTTGATAAACTTAATTAATAGCCAAAAATAATGTACTAATTAATATCAGAAACAAAAGAAAAAAAAACAAATTGTTAATGTTTTTAAATAAAATATACAAATTATAATAATAAAATAAAGAAATATTTTATATAATAAAACAAAAAATTTTTTGCAGTTTCAAAAAATAATTATTTGCGAATAATTAAATACAAGAATTATTTTCAAGACCACTGTTGATGGGTATTTTTATTGGCAATACTCGAAACAGCTGTATGGTCAGTCAAAAATTCAATTAATTAAAATAATATAAAAAATAAAATTTTGTTGTTGTAGTTCACTACTATTCGAAAAACCTCTATGCAAAAAATTAAGTAAATTAAATAACAGCAAATAAATACGCATGCATTAATTTTTAGGTAGAAAAAACGATCTTTACTCACTCGGAGAATCCATAAGCAAGTCATGAGGACCGGTGGAGCTTTCTGTGCCATTAGGTGATATTTGTGGTGGTTCACGTTCCATATCACGTTCTCGCTCTCGCTCCCGATCGCGTTCTCTATCTCGTTCACGTTCACGCTCACGTTCACGTTCTCTTTGCTGTAAAGCTGAGCTAGTTGTAGGACTAAGTTTTAGTGGATGCAATGGATGATGGGGATGATGCAGGTGCACACCACTACCCAGGCCACCATGTGGTGCTGCGGGTCCCAATAGAGTAGGTGAAGCAGAAGATGCGCGTGTTGCTGTTGCTGTAGGTGGTCCATGTGATTTTGTAATGGTTAGTTCCCCATTTGAGGCGGTAAGTCTGCTAATAAACAAAGTATAAGTAATAGGTACACTTTAAAGGAGCAATGCGAAAAGTGAGGCATTGGAATTGTGGTGGAAAACAGCAATAAATTTTCTTTAATAATTATTGCCAATAACTACAATTTCTTATACCTTTCCTTGCCAAATAAAGTTTGCGTGTGCAAAACTTTCACACGAAACGAATTTCTTTACTGGCTCACCTATTGATGCTATTCAAAACATTGGCTGCTGCTGTTGATGTGGCATTTGTAGTTCCGGAAATACCATGACTTGAGGTACCACAACCGTTGCTACCGCCAAGAAAATCACGTTCGTGCGGTGAGCCCAAGAGATGTTGTTGCTGCTGATGGTGATGCAAATGTGTAGTATTTGGTGAATGGCTGCGGAACAATTGTCCAGCACCAGTACCACTGCTACCACCCAATGGTGAAGAATAACCTCTTTCATGATTTGTTGCTGTTGCTGAGCAGTTTGTTAAGGGTATTGTGGTTGTTGTAGATGTTGTGGGACTTGCTTGGCTTGAGTGGTGCTGCTGACTGCTAGCTGCAGATAACGAAGCGGATACTGATGCTGAGGTTGCGGTTGCTAATGATGATACTGAAATGGAAGTTGAGTTTCTACCGCTACCCAGAGATTGGTTTGAATTAAGTTGTACTGGTGAAGAGGTACGTGCGGCACGCTCACGTTCACGTTCACGCTCTCTATCCCTATCCCTTTCACGTTCTCTTTCACTGCTGTGCTGACTGAGATTCATACCACCAATGCTGGAATTAGCATTGCGACTGGGACTATGTTTAAGACTATGATGTGATTCGCGATCACGCAAATTCATAGAACTGGATGAAGAGGACGATGGTCGGGGAGAAGGTGAAGATATCGCATTGTTGCGATGATGATGATGATTACTTGATGAATAATGATGGCGGGAAGTTGGTGGTGGAGATACGTTTCCATCACTGTGCTGTAGTGTTCCTTTGCAATCCATTTTTGGTGAAGCTAACTCATCTGGATGACGTAACGCATGATGTTGTAAAGCATGATGATGACTGAGATGTGGCACTGATTCCTGTTTGATTTGCAATTGCTGCTGTAGGTGGAAGGCGGCAGCAGCAGCTGCTGCAGCGGCCGCTGCTTTTGTACTACTGGTTGGCGAAGAAGGTGGCGTACGTTCGGAACTGCGAGTGCCTAAATGTAAGTCAGTCGTGTGGGCGTGATGGGTTAGGTGGGTGTGATGACCAAGATGTTGCTGCTGCTCCCGTTGCTGGTGGTGATGGTTAACAGCAGCGGCAGCAAATAATTCGGGATGTAGGGCTGCTAGCAACTGTTGAACGCCATTCGAAAACAGATTTGGCTTAAGTAAATTCGTTGGTGTTTGGGCGAGTTGAGGCAACGTTGGTGCATGTTGTAAAGCTGACAAAGGCGGTGGAAGTTGAGGAGCAGCGGCCAGTAGATGTTGTTGTTGTTGCTGCTGTTGAAATGAAGCAAATGCACCAAAGTTCTGCATGAATTGCTCATTTGTATTGATTTGCGGACTAACAGGTATAGTGAGTATTGTTTGTACAGCAATGCCTGTAAAGGGAGACAAGATTAGTTTTATAATTTGGCTTCGACATTTTAATTAATTGAATCCCACAACCCTGCATTTGTTTACACTTCAAAAGCATCATTGCTTTAAACTTAAACTAATGCAAATCATCGTTGTCTTTTATGCCCTGTCAAACATAATCCCTTGATATGCCACACACAAAATATTTACTAATACCCTCTAAAGTAATACCCAAAACTGTCCACATTTACATTTACATGTACCAGCACATTTAACCTTTTAACTTACCTTGAGCTGTGGGTATCAGCAATTGTGCACCCTGCACGCCTTGCACCAACTGTCCGGATGCTAATATCAATTGCGGCATCTGTGCGCTAGCCGGTGGTGCTTGGAGCGTAGGTGGAGGCGATGCTGTAGCAGCTGCACCCGCCGCTGCGGCTGCCGCTGCAGCTGAATTCAGCACATTTGCCAAAGTACTTTGTGCTGACGTTTGTCTATCCGCGTGTGAGGCATGCGAATTTGGTGATGTAGTGCCCGTATTATCTTGGGATCCACTGGCATGAGACATAACTTTGTTATTGCTATTGATATTGTTCGCAAAAGCATTCGTTGCGGATAATGTTGCAGCGGCTGCAGCAGCTGCTGCTGCAGTTGTGGGCGAGCACAAACTGTTGGGCAAAGTTGAATTGATTCCAGACCCCACTGATAAATTTAGAGGTGAGTTCAAAGCGGCAGCAGCTGAGGCAGTTATGCCCGCTGCTAATCCCTGAAGACTTGCTAATGCAGCCGCTGTCGCTGAATCTACGTTGTTGGTGGAGTTTTGTTGTTGCAGGTGTTGTTTTTGCTGAGAGTGGTGCTGCTGTTGTTGTTGTTGATGCTGCTGAAGTGTGGCTAAATTTTGTAACTTTTGTAAATTTATCATGTCTTGCACTGTTGCAGTGTTGATTTTGATGGCAAAATGTTAATCAATGCAAAAAGTGGCATAAAAATGAAAGACAATTCACCAATATTAGTAAAATTGATGAGTTCATATGTTATCAGTTCGTTAGTTCGTTACAGTCATAAAGTATGAATGATCCTCCTAAGTTCTCCTAAGTATATATTTTAATCACATAGTCTATAACATCTTCTTTGCAAACCTTTAATAGATCACCGCGATTATAGAAAATCTTTTCTTCAAAAGCAGAGCCCTAAAGACATATATTTAGGTGTATATTAGATATATATACATACATTTTATTTTGTGAATTGTGATTTAATGGAGTTCTTCCTCTGACTATATCTCATTTGAATAACATTTGGTAAATCTAGGCATTAACATCAGTTTTTATAAGAGACACTTTTGTTTAAAGTATCAGACAACGGATATAGGGGAATCTTCACTTCGTCACTAGAATTTTACTAATCAGAGTTAAAAAGAAAGGACAGTGCCAATCTATTTTGCTTAATAATTTAGGCTCTTTACTTGGTGATGGTTTTAATAGAAAGATTTATATATGAATATCAGACTTTCTGACTTATCAGAGAACTTTGAGTATCTTTCTTAAAATTTCCTTAATAAAAGCTCTCTTACTAAACTGTGCAACAAAGATGGTTTGATGACTTTCATATATATGAGTACTCATTTCTTCCGGTTAATCTTTTTTCTTTTAAAAAGAGATTGAAACTAATTCGAAGTAAGTTAAATGAAGTGAATATTTTATTATTGCACTTCAATTATAAGCAACTGCACAGAAAAGGGATAAAAGGTTCGGGAAGAACCATCTATGGTCTATTTTAAGAGCTGTTACGTCAAAAAGAAACAGGAATGCATACATATAAGACTTCAAATATATGAGTTGGAGTTCTGTAATTTTATGATACACCTATAATATTTGCACGTCCAAAGTCTTTTTAATATATATATATATAAAATTGGATGTCGATATGTACTCACTAGTTCCATTTAGATGAGCCTGTGCTGCAGCTGCTGCTACGGCTAAAGCCGAAGCATTCGCCTGATCATGTTCGTCGGTCATATGATGATCACGTAACTCGTCGTCCACTGCGTCAGCATCAATTTGCATAGGTTGTGGTGAGTTTGGCGCTGAATGCTGAGATTCATGTTGCGGAGAATGTTCATTATGATTTGATAATGAAGCTGCTTTAGCTAAATTTTTATAAAATTCCAATTCTTTAACATGATCCTTATCGAATGAGTTCTGTGTGTGTATATCGTGTAAGCTGTTGTTATCAATTGGTGAGTTGATTTTATGATTTGAAATTTCCTTATCAAAATCCTGCAATGACAAGAAATACGAAAGATTATTAGAGGAGAAAAATTATTATAAAGTTCGTTTAGTTTTAAATTTTATAATTTATGCAATTAAACTATTTTAAAAAGTATAAATTTAAGTATTGAATTATGGTTACAATTATTGACACATTAAGCTTATCCTCATTAAAAACGGGTCTACATTCAATTATGTGGTGTTCGCGTCATTAAAAATCTGCTCAATTATGTTGACTATGAAGCAAGTGTATAAATTATTTTAATACGTATTTATTCCTGACATATGGACAAGGCTGTTAAAATTATTTAAATCAGTTTTTGTTTATTAACAAATGAAAAAGGCAATAAATAGCCAACAGGCAGCGATACAAGCTGCAAAGTGTTGACATATCACTGAGTTAAGTAAGTTTATTAAATTGTAATTTCATAACATAAATGTGGAGTTGTTAACATTTAAGACAGAGGCGTAGTTGGACAATTTTAAACTTAAACTTACCCAAATTTAATAAATTTTATGTGGGTTCAATTTATAATTGAGTTACTTTAAGTAGTTCAAATAGATACTTTTTATTTAGATAAGCAAAGCAGATTTCAATGGATGATACTGGATTGAGAATCAGACTCTTTCAATTCATATATCATATAAATTAGCCTTTATAGTTGTCTAAGTAGTTCTATTATTAAATGGAGAGTTAGTAGATTAATATAGAATATTCCAAACTTGTTCTGAAAATTGTGAAAGAGTCTATTTATAGTACGATATGATCAGTAGCTAATTTCGAGTGAGTATCTTACAAAATTATACTCCAATTATACTCCACATACAATCTAAAATTGTTATAAATCAAATATCTCAAAACTATTTTCCCTCAATTTTTCGGAGAAAATCCTTTTAATTTGATTTTGGCACGGCTTTGCATCGAAACACTTGTAACATTTGGGAATTTAACTACCATTGTTTTTAGTATCAGCAGTATTGCAATAAAAAAACATTTATAATTCCAGATATATATACATATATGAATATATATTTTTATGAAAATATATGCTTTATCCTCTTAAATTGTTTTAGTTCGCAGTACATTCGTACTCGTAATTTTGTGGCTGACATACAATGAAGTGACTACATTGTTTTTAAATTGACATTAATATATTTGCATGTAATTAAATATTAAGTATATTGTATTTAGTAGATAATACAGCTTTCACATCAATTAAGGAACTTAATTTATGCAAATTTAATTAAATGCAAAATATGTTACATTTGACAACTTATGCAGCACTTCAAGTAATCAATTTCAAAATAAAATTATGGACTTTGAAATAATTCAATAATAGAAATGATGCTAAATCCTAACAGAATTAGAATATTTTGTAAAGTAAAAATCTAGAATTGAAATATGTAAATTTATTCTAAATGTGAGCTAAAAACTACTCAATAAGCTAACTGCCTGTCTATTTTAAATCTAGTCGATTTTAACTGTATACTTGTCAAAAACGTCATTGCAAAGATTCAACTCATAACTAACATTAGGTTCTAGGAAGGTTAAGGAAGAGAAAGTTATATATCTACATTGAGACTATCTTTACTGCTACAAGATACTATGATGAGAATTGAACACGAATTGACATTTCAATCTTCAACTTAAAATTATATTAAAGAGTACTAATTATTGCAATTAGTTTCATTAAAGATTAAGTAAAAAAACTTTATATGAAATTATTTGTAATTTATTGCCTAGGAAATACAGAAAAACATTAAATTGCCTACAAATTTATTAAGATTTACAATTACCATAACATAACCTTAAAAGATCCAGTCCTCTAATATTGTAAATCAAAAAAACTATTAATTATATATATCCTTCTCCTTCGACTTTTTCTTTTTTTTTGCTGAATGAAACGCGAGATTGTTTACTTAATAATGTCTGTGATCACTTGTCTGATCGACTGAATAAAGTGTTCCACTGAAATATGATTATTATTTATCATTGATTATTTATCATTATCATTATTATTTATCATTTATTTATCATATTTATTGATGAGTTATTCAGCTGATTTTATCGGAGTAGCGTTTGACGCTGTGGATCCATTTTGATGGAATATACATTGCTTTCGTTTTAAGAGAGTACTATTCTGAATTTGTGTGAGCATCCACAGAATCAAAAAATTTCAGCGCACTGTCATATAAATATACTCTCATTCGCACTCTCGAGATTCAAGTCCTAGTGTATATCTTCATTTCTGCTGTACCACCACCCCCATGATGTTATTAGCAAACGTCTCAAGACGTATAAATTTTTTATATGTAATGCAATGTTATGATATACTTTAGAAAGACTATTTTCTAATTCTGTGACAATGGTAGAAGGGTAATATATAATACTGTTGATATTTTAAACAATCTCGATAATTTGGATCATAAGATATTATAAGATTCTTTAATTGCAGTTAACAGATAATTTCTACCTCACAGTTTTTAAGTGCATTCAATTAAAATTAAAAGATGAAATAGGTGTTATATTGAAAAGTTAACAGAAGTCCAGAATTTCTGAGACGAACAATGTTTATTGAAAGCACCACTTGATGTTGTTATACTTGAATTAATACAGAAAAAAAATCACGTTTTTGGATTAAGTTTTTTTCCTGTTAATGTCTTCAAAGGGATTCAAAGTGAATCATCAATATTAGGAGATGAGTATCAACTCACACTGAATCGCTTAATCCTGTTCTTTCTGACTTAATGCCTTACAATTCTGATTTCATTTCAGTTTGGCAAATCGCCTTTGATTTATTTCATCACATAATTTGACCTTCTAATAGTTAGACCTATTATAGGTCTTAGTGTACATAGGTATATATTAAACCCAAAAGAAACTTGTTCAGAATGCGAACTGTTCCTTTTGTTTATATTTTTTTTATAAATTTTTTAATATTCAATAACACTTACTTAGGTATTTAAATTTTTATATTTAATATGACATAGACTTTTTGCATACAAAACTTTTCCATATGGTCTTAACAAGGCTCTCGTTATCGAAAATCCACCTTAAAGTTAAACTTCTCATTTAAGCTTACTAGTATAACACCTTTTAGTAATATGGGAAAATAAATTTTTACCCTTAAGTGCAGTCAATAATTATCATCATTCGAAATCAATTAAAATAAGTGGCAACCACTCAACCAAACTTCCATATAACTACATGTGCCATAATTTTGTGCTGTGTCAGGAAACACATTTTTTCTCTCACATAATTAAGTACAAAAGTGTTACTTATTTCCCAGCATTTCCATTTGGCCACTTGCTCAATAGGACGACTTCACCAAGCTACATTACTGCGACTGCTGTTTCCTATGCAGTTGTAAACACACTACTTTAGTCCTTTTCATATTCAAAATAAAATGGCAGCACCACTGAAAATATCTACAAATCGAAACTTTATTTATGACTGAAGCTATAGTACGAGTAGCTTTAGTAGCTAGTAGCTCCAACTTCTGCTGCTGGAGCAGTGGCTGCAATTTGCTACTTATAACGCGCCAATACATAATGTGAATGTCCTGCGACCAAAGTCCTTGCACTATTCACACAATGTTCATGTGCTCGCGTGTAGGTGTAGTGACTTAACAATCACAAAAACACTGAGCTCACCAAAGGCACAATATGAAATCGTAATGAAATCGTAAAAAATAAAGAAAAGTGAAAAACAGGATAAAAAAGGAGTCACAGGCATTGATGTGAAATGAATTAACTTTTCAACATACTTAACAACACTCAATCGCATATCGCGTACGTTTGACGAACCCATTCTCCGCTTTCTGTCTCTGTGAGTCCTGCCAAGTCCTGCCAGCTGCGGCAGCTACAACCGAACTGCTAGATACTTTCTTTCGCTGCCACTGCGGTTGCACGTATCCTTTGATTCAGCATAGTTTTTAATAGCGATTTATGCCAATTCACATAATAAACTTTGCACAAATACTTAAACATTATTGAGCATATTAACACGGCAAATCGTGGTAATGAGATTTTACCCGCTTTATTTCATTTGATTCAAGGAGTTGCAGTTGTATTTAAACTAAAGGACGGAAAAAATAAAATGGACCAAACAACAATGAAGCATAATGAATATTAATTTGTTGAAGTTTAATAAACTGTAAACTATTTTAATCAATTATTTATAACGATTCTACATGCCTATTTAATTTATATCGAAAAGGAAGCAATCAAAGGAAGAGGATTTAGCCAATATTTTGAGCTTCATCTGACTTCTACCTCGGAACGAACTATACGACTCACTATGAGAACATAGAATAAGCACAGGTTGTAGTGGAATAATATATTTATACTATAAATTTTAATATTTAATTGTAATTTATTAGAGCTAAATGGTTTATTAAATCATTATTATTAAAACAGAAATCTTATCAACCCTTTTATTCCAAGAAAAAGCCTTAAGACAGCCTATTATTAGGCTACTGTGATAGTGTCAATAATAAATACAATTACTCCATAATCGACTAAATATTTGGCGAAACTCCCAAATTTTATGATCTCTATGTTATTACTTCAAAACTATTTCCAGAATTTTTTTAAACCAAAAAAAACTTGGGAACTGGATGTTTATATTATTTACAAACTCAGCACATGTTAGTATCCTTTATTTTAATATTGGAAAGAATGATAGTTTCACGCAACATATGGAATTATGAAATTTTTTATTGTCTTAACTCATAACGATTAAGGCTTGTCAAATTTTTCTCGTTGCCATTTGCATTATATTAGTCCTTCATACAAGGCCATAATAATTGAAACAATGTATGTAGTAGTCTAAGTCTAATAATTGTAGATTGTGTATATTTTATTTGTGGTAGTCAATCCGATTACTTATTCCATTTGTGGGTAGGTAGGTAGGTAGGCGAAGTACATAGAAGGAGGGTCGGATAGTTCTCGAAATCTCTGCTATATGAAAATAGTTAACTTATGTCGTTTTCGATTGGTAAACCTAG